TCCTAGCACGGCGGATAGTAAGGTAAGAAAAAACCTCGGACACAAACTTTAATGATCCAAAAACACGCGATCAACAGGCGGTGCCCCGAGCTTCCGAACCCAAGTCAGTAAAAAGATGGTATCGTGTAATAAGTGGTCGGATTTTAAATTTCTTGGAATATCAATAGGCCATTGATTTATTCATAGTTTGACCATGAAGATGCCGGAAGCTCGCTAGCACACATAAAAATACAGCGTTTTTGGGGGATACTGATATCCCCAACACCTCCCCTTGTGAAAAGTCAGTAAAATACTCGACGGGGGTCGACCTGGATACGTTCCGGCTGGCGGCGGCGTCGGTCTGTGCACCGCCTGGGAAGAAGTGTTGGATCAAATACTGAGCTGTCGGTCACACTCTCCTCTTTCGAAGCTGTCTCAGTTTTCAGCTCAAAAGTATCGAGCAATATGTCCAACGGTACGGTACCCGAACATACTTGAGTTTCCGGCGTGCTGTTAAAGCGGAGTTGGTTTTGATGTCTGGTCCAGGTGTCTTGACCAACCGACACGTCGTACATTACACTACCGCGTTTGCGCAGGATACGACCTGCAATCCATGAATCATGTCCTGGGCGATAGTCACGGACAAGCACGGGCGTTCCCACCTTGAATGGAGTTCCAACTGCCACCGGTATGGACCTTGACTCAGTAGGTTGTGTTGGCAACATGGAAGAATGCACAGTTCTAAGTTTACGGCCCATGAGTGCCTCTGCAGGTGACTGGTGGTTTGCCAAAGCGTCATTCGGGGTCGTTCGGTACACAAACAGGAATCTCTGAAGGGCTTCGACGGATGTCTCCTCCCCTCGAGCTTTAAGCAAAGCCCTCTTGAATGTGTCGACGAACCTTTCTGCTTGACCGTTCGATTGTGGGTGGTACGGTGGTGAACGAACGTGTGTTATCGCATGTCGAGTGCAGAAGTCGCGGAACTCAGCAGAGGTGAACTGCGAACCATTGTCTGAGACTATGGACTCCGGTAATCCATGCTGACTGAAAATGTTGGATAACACTCTCAGCGTACTAGATGTTGTTGGAGATGACACCGGAACGATTTCTGGCCACTTGGAAAAAGCGTCAATCAAAACCAAATAAAAAGTGCCATTTATCGGTCCTGCGTAATCAATGTGGATCCGAGACCAGGGCTTTTCAGGTCGAGGCCAGGGAACCGGTGGTTGGTGTGGCGGATTCTTTGAAGCTTGTTGACATCGGGAGCAGCGTTTTACAAAATCAGTGATGTGCTGGTCCATGTGCGGCCAGTATGCGTAACTGCGAGCTATTGACTTCATACGGTTGATTCCTGGATGTCCAGAATGGAACTGACGAAGAACTCGATGGCGTAAAGGTTGCGGAATCACCACGCGATCTCCAAACATTAAACAATCTTTTACGATCGCTAATGCATCTCGGCGATGAAAGAGCTGTCGAAGGGAATCATCTTTGAGATTCGAAGGCCACCGAGAATTCATGAATCGGATCACCTTTTGAAGCGTTCCATCAGCTGTGGTAGCTCTTTGAACCTCTGTTACTGTCACGGGCAGGGCACGAACGGACTGGACCAACTGTGGGTCGGCTGGGTCCTCAAATGCAACATGCGCAATAACCGTGTCTTCTTCGGGTGTTGGCTGGTTGTTGATCAGCCGAGATAATGCATCGGCCTGACCGAAGTCGGTGGTGCGTCGATATTGAATATCGAAGTCATAACCCAGCATAATCAGGGCCCATCTTTGCAGGCGGTTGGCAGAGTGTACGGGAACACCTTTCCTTGAGCCGAAAATGGAGAGCAATGGTTTATGATCGGTAAGTAGGGTGAAACGGCGGCCATACAACATTTTGTGGAAACGCCGAACCGCGAACACTAAGGCCAACGCTTCTTTCTCTATCTGTGCGTATCGCTGTTCTGCTGGGGTTAGTGATTTCGACGCATGCATAATGGCCCTCTCCGATCCGTCTGGAAAGACGTGTAGAATGACGGCACCGACACCAAAATTAGAGGCATCAGCTGCCACAACGATCGGCAGCTTTGGGTCGTAGTGGGTAAGTAGCAGATCAGAACTGAGCATCGTCTTTAGTTTGCAGAATGCTTCCTCGCATTCGTCTGACCAACACCAGGGGACATCCTTTCCAAGCAACCGATTTAGCGGGGGCCGGATGTCGTGCAACGAAGGCAGGAATGCCGAATAGTAGCTGATTAACCCCAAAAGGGAACGTAATGATGGTACATCCTTAGGAGGTGGCATCTGCTGTATAGCTCGAACGTTTTCCGGGTCAGGATAGCGACCAGAGGCGTCAAAAATGAACCCAAGATATTTCACAGTTGTCAAGAAGAATTGACACTTCTCGGGACGGAGGCGGAGGCCATTGTCCTGAATGCGCAGTAAGACGGCATTGATTCGCTCACGAAGCTCTTCGGGGGAAACAGCAACGATCAGCACGTCGTCCAGGTATGCGACCACACCTGGAATGCCAGAAAGGATGGTGTCCATCAATTGCTGGAAAATTGCTGGGGCGGTTTTGACGCCAAACGGAAGACGGTTGTACTGATACAGCCCGCGGTGTGTGTTGATTGTCAGTAGTGGGCGTGATTCTGGTGCGACTTCAACTTGAAGGTACGCTTCAGCCAGGTCGATTTTGGCGAAGAACTTCCCACCGTTCAGAACAGTGAATAGATCGTCGGGTACTGGTAGTGGATAATGGTGCTGCTGGATAGCTGCATTTAGGCCGGTTGAGAAATCGGCGCATATGCGGATGCCACCGTTAGGTTTCTTTACTACAACGATCGGCGCTGCCCAGGCAGAGTAGGATACAGGGGACAGAACGCCTTGTTCTTCCAACCGTTGAAGTTCGGCATCTACCAGTGGGAGGGAAGCGTACGGAACTGGTCTCTTTGGACGGAAGACTGGCGTAGCTCCCGGCACGAGGTGGAGGACTGCTTGTGTCGCAGTGCACTGACCGAGACCGGACTGGAAAACAATTGGAAATCGCTCCATAATGTCGGATGCATGATCTGGATGCGCTGTAGGAGACTGAACTGCATTGCAAACGGCGCTGATTGGAATGTCGGCTAACCCAAGGCGATCGAACCAATCAAGACCCAATAGGTTCAACTCAGTTGCCGTTATATAACACGACCCCACAAATGTAGTTCCTCGAAAAGATACACAGCACTGGAGCTCACCGGAAAGTTTTAACTCTCCACCGCAGGCACTGGTTGCAGTTCGAGCTGCTTGTCTGATCGGAGGTTGCCCGAGCGTGCGCCAAAGCCTCTCCGAAATGATGGTAATGTCCGACGCAGTGTCCAACTGCAGACGGATTGGATGACCATTTACGGTGACTGTCAGATACTTCCGGTTACCTGGCGTGTTGATCTGGAAAGTAGCCAGCAAACTGAGAGAGGAGCCAACAGGGTTCGATTTCGGTTTGGGACGGATGCGTGATGATTGCTTTGAAACAGCAGAGGCCGTATGCATCAGTGACTGACAATATCCATCTTTGTGTCCCACGGACTTACATTGGCGGCACCGATGCTTCTTGTAAGGACAGAACCTGACGAAGTGCCAGGCTCCACAGTGCCAACATTGTGAAGGTGGTGTCTTCTTTGAGCCTTTGTTTTGCTTCGGACCAGAACACTGCGAGGTCGATTTGGTTGGGCCAGAATTGACAGGGCCAGGCTGTTGCGTATCCTGGTGTATTGCATGAACCTCGGAACCGCCATGACCCCCGAGTTGGACCATCGCGGTGTCATGCTTCAGGTTAAGCAACCGTTGACACTCCGAGGTGACGGCCTGCAGCGTCATGGATGGGTCCTGCTCGATGCGGCTGAGGAGTCGGGTACGGATTTCTGCATCCTTCGGGGATTGTAGACCACATATGAAAATCAGCGACTTGAACTGATCTTCCGTTAACGATCCGAGTTTGAACCGTTCGCATTCTCGGTTCACGATGCCAGAATATGTGAGGAAGTCGTCTGCATCACTCTTCACTAGCTTCATGCATCGATAACGGATGTTGAAAAGTGACGTTTGCTCACCGAATATTTGTGAAAGCGTGTTGACCGTTTCATCAAAAGTGAAATCGCGCGGGTTTTTTGGCAGAATATAGTTAGCGTACTTATCATGCTCTGCGGGTCCAAGTTTGCGGAGCAGGAGGCGAACCTTCCAACTATCATCTTGAAGTGAAAAATCGACCCTGAACAGGTCTTCATAGCGACGAAACCAAGCATCAAACGTTATGCCAGCTGAGGGTTCATAGCAAAATTCGTTGATACTGCCAGCGATTCCATCAACCGACTGTGGGACGCTCGACGCAGCCGGTGAAGCCAAAGATGTAGTTGATAGTCGCTCCGTGAGTACTTTGATGAGTTGCAGTTGTTGCTCAAACATTACTTTGAGTTGTTCTGCCTCCATCTTGCGTCGCCAAATATGTGACGATTCGGTCACGCAGGGAGCAAACAATATGATATGCGGATTGTGGCAATACTCTATCCCCAGCTATGTTGCTTGATCCAGAATCCTAGCACGGCGGATAGTAAGAAGACGAAAAACCTCGGACACAAACTTTAATGATCCAAAAACACGCGATCAACAGGCGGTGCCCCGAGCTTCCGAACCCAAGTCAGTAAAAAGATGGTATCGTGTAATAAGTGGTCGGATTTTAAATTTCTTGGAATATCAATAGGCCATTGATTTATTCATAGTTTGACCATGAAGATGCCGGAAGCTCGCTAGCACACGTAAGTATACAGCGTTTTGGGGGGATATTGATATCCCCAACAGGTGTACATGCGCAATGCATACGGTGAGATTTTTTCTCACTACTTGACGGGACAGTAACTTCCCCACGGAGGCCATTTCCCATAAGAGCGGGCAGTTGTTCATGCGCCGAATTTTCCATCTTTCATCATCGTGTTTCATCATCCCTTTTTCTACAAAGCTTTCGTGTTGATTGTATTCAGTTTACTTCGTTTTCAGCATCAACAATGCCGCATATCTGCTGGTTGCAGCTCACTTTGTTCATACAACTTTTCACTGTTATTCGATTCTCACTGGCAACTCAACCCGGTGGGACGGTAATAGCGTGTGGTGGATTTGTTCGCTGGAAAGATTCCAGTGTTTCTTCTCAGATTCTGTTTCACAAGCTCAAAGTGAATGTTTTCTCAGAACCCAGTAGAGCACTGCAAGATATCACGGATGTACTTCCGAATGGGGCCTATTCCGTTGCTCTCTACGATCAGGGTCCTTGCCGTTTAAGTTTGGTCACGCCGAGGGGTTGGCATTTTTATCCAGCTGATGGGCACCTTATCGATGTTCGGTCTGATCCCGACGTATGTGTTGGCAATCTGGACTTTGTCCTTTCGGGGTTTACCATATACGGACAGGTATGTTTTGTTTTCGCATTAGTGCCACCCTGGGTCAGTCGTTTACTGCCGGTGCAGTTTAAGTTCTCTTCAGTTCTATGGTCGACAGACAAGAGTAAACTATGGATGTTTGGGTTCGTTTATTCATCCCGATACCAGGTTCACCAAACTACATAAATGTGGTATTTCTGCAGGTAGCCACCTTCGCATTAGCCGGTAGACATTCTTAACCCATCACATCGTCTTTTCACCTCTGGCTGTCAGTTTTTCTTGCGGACTACTTGCTTGAACATTCTCCTAGCGGCGAATTGACTCCACCTTTTATACTTAATCAGCCTAATTCCCTTTGGATGCGGACGTTAACCGTGCTGGAATTCACACTGGAAACCCACTGTTGCCCCTGACATTGGGGGTGCACTGCCCTTCTGGCGGCTCCTTATCAAACAGCTGTATTTTGTTTAACGGGTAGAGCGATTTATTGGTGTAGCTGAAGGCTACCTGACACCTGTTATTAGGCTTGAACTACTGGTCATCGTGTTCTCAAAAAGCTAATGCCATACCATGGTACGTAACACCTGCATATTGCGAATGGTGGTTCTCATGATTAAGTACCCCCTGGGGCGAATGGAGCTGTGTGTTGTCCACTGCCATCTAAAGCAGTACCCATCCGGATGGCCTTTTCTCGCATTGGCCAGTGCTCCTTCTCGAAGTACGACATTTTGCGCTACCAATACTACCAAATGATGCTATTGGGTCAGATTTACCCCTTCGCGGGGCTAGAAAATCAAATGCCGTATTTTTCTCCCATGGCCAAAAATCCCCCACTTAAAAATGGAATGGAAAGGGGATTTTTGCATTCTACTAATGATACAAATGCAAAGGTTATACATCCACATTCAAGTTAGTAGATCCAGGGGAAAAGTCAGAACTCCAGAGAAGATGCAATCAAAGAATCAGGTGTACAACTACGGAACATTTCCGCCACGGATGGATTGGCATTATGGCTATTTTACTTGGAAAATTAGCCCACTCGATTCAAGCTATCCAAAGTGGTACCCACCTAAGTGTTTATGACTGTCGCGACTTTTGCTGAGCTGCAGAAATTGTTTGAACTCCTACACTGGAAGACAATAGGTCTCCCTAAAGCGTAGCTCTTCCGGTGGAAACGATTCCAGAATCGTATCACACTTTTCACTCGTTTTTAGGCGATTCCATCCTCATGGTTTGCTCTTAGGAGAAATATTTTTTTGGCTGAATGTCCCATGTGAGCTTTTATCTAGCGCATATCTATAGTGCATGAACCGAACGCTTTCCGCTTGAGTTTCTCCTCAACCATTTCTTTAATGAAATGTTAATTTTATCCAAATTACGGTTGCAATTCAATTTTAGGTGGTAACCTACGGCTTAACCACGGGGCCGTCAGGTCTCACTATCCGAATGACTTCAAACAACACGAGTTCTTTGTTGCCCTCAAGTATCACGGAAGTTGGAGGTTCTTTCGCCCTAGCCCCTATCCTTCCGGGTGTTTACGAGATAACTGTAAGCGATGGATCTGAACAGGCGTCCGAACACGTCAGGGCCCGTGTGAGCTTCACAGTGGGCGCGGACAGTCTTTCTCTTCAAGAACCCCTTATTTTAATGGTAAGCATTTTGTAATTGCACGGTTCAGTGGCATTTTCATCGTCATTTCTCAGCATCCAACGGCACTCACTACTTTGCATTTTTCAGGGCCACTTTGTACATGGTCGCATTGTCGACTTTCAAGCGGAAGCGCTTGCTGGAGTTACGGTGCATTTATTCATGGATTCTACTCAGGGTGATCAGCCCAAGGTGGATTGTAATATGCCCCTGGTTCCGTCGACAGACTTCCCAGAAGAACTTCGATCAGAGAAGAAGCTTGTTTGTGTGGTAAGTCGTGGGTTCATTTGACTTTCGTCTCTGTTATTTACTTGAGTTCTTTTTGTTGTCCGTTTTCTGAAGGCCGTCTGCTAGCTAGTCGGCTTGCATCCAATTCTGATCCGTCTGTTGGATGCTTGTGCATAGTTACGACAAGGCCAGCGGTTTGCTCCAGCCTAAACACGACTGCATCACAGTAACCTCTAGCACCACATTAAACGGTGAGGTGCAGGTGTCATCCATCAGTTCATTTACGTTTAAATATCACACTTCCCTGAACAGTACCATACAATCTTATGTGTTGGAGGCTGCGCTGAACGACCTGTCTCTGTTGTCCTGAGCAAACTGGCGACACTTGTCCAGCAACTGCATAGTTCCGCCTCACTTACCCGTCAACGCCTCGTGACTGTACAAACAGGGAAACGCTAATATCTTGCTCATGCAGATTTGCCCACAGGTTGTGTAGCCCCATAAGCTGGCCGACGTTGATGGTGATGGTACGTTTATTGCGAGTCGCTTGCGCATTCATAGACCCGAAATGCATCAAACCTATGTAAATGGGAGCGAGATGGCCCAAGTGATTAGAGCGCGAATTTACTGACCGGAAGGTCCATGGTTCGAATCCGACTTCCGCCACTCGACTTCCCCTGTCTAGGCTTGGGCAACCTGGCAGTATCCCAGCCCTCGTGCTTCCTTCGGGTGGCATGGTAGCTAGGCACTGGAAGGGTGCTACAGCTGAACGCTCTATGTAAATGGCCTTCCGTCAGGTGTCTATCATATTTTCTCATGACGAGAAGTGTCTCTTCAAAGTCCGTGTCGATACAATATTTTGAGTCTTCCTTGGCCCCGCAGGCTGTTCTTCAACTTCCGATGTAGCACTTTTTGGTAATGCGATTCAGTGCCATGCGTACCACATGGCGTAATCATCGTCATCATCATCATCATTGTCAGCTGTAATAACAGCGTACTCATCGTACAGTGTTTGTAGCTGCCGCAGTTTCGTTCACCGATGATTTGGGGGGAGAGGGAGGTAGCTGCGCATTGCAGGCGGGAGCTGATAAATTGGTGCATAAATCGAGCAGTCAGTGGGGTGTCAAGTGGGGGGGGGGTTGGAAAAGGAGCTATGCATTGAAGGCAATAGCTTTGATGCACGAGCGCCATTGAAGGCGCGACTGGGCCATATCTGATAATGTCTCTAGCCATTGATGTGGCCCGTCTCGGGGTCCCCATCTAGGAAGACGGCAATGACCAGCGCAGCTGAGTTTACTAGTAATGGCTTTCATACTTCGCTGCCAAGTCATTGTTTGGCCGCCTCTGGCTCTCTTCCACCCTTCACGTGGTTGTGCGAAAAGAGCCCTTCGAGGAAGTCGGTCGACTGGCATA